CCCCTAACGGGCCAAATCTGGTTTCCACTTATTTGGGCCCATATCAGTTTTTCCTATTGACAGTCTAAAGGCTCACTAAAATTAAATCACTTTTATTGAGCCCAACTAAATGTAAATAACTAATATAAATACTACAAATAATATATGTAGCCCACAATAATTATTAGAAATAAAATTTCTAACACATAATACCACACACTCTCTAGTAATCTATTAACTAAGGATTTAAAGAAGACTAAAAAATCCAATCTAAGAGTTTAACACCTACTCAAGGAGAATTTTTCAGCAACTAGGTTCATAGAGCACCACACTAATATCCTCATAATGAGATATCTAACTTTAAAAACATCCTCTCTTCTAGTCCTAAGTTAACCAATATGCTTAAATGTCTGAAAGCATTCTTAGCATCATACTTCAACAACATACATTTATATGCATTATTTCAGGTCAATGGATATAGATCTAACAATATTAATCAATTTATAGCATACCAATATATTTCAACAATTTCAACCACACAACCATCTATATATATTATCCCAAATCAACATACATAGATCAAATTTTGTCAATCAATATACAACATGCAAGAGATTCATCTAACAAATTCATGTTCACACACCTTATACTCGGCACCATTGAGGTAGGGAGCCCTCTATTTTGCACACGCTCAATGCTATACAACCCACGCTTGACATGGATTAGGTAGAGACCTTTGGGCCTTCACGTCTGACGTGACAAAGTCTCATGCCTAACCCTAAACCAAGTAGAGACAGGTCTCTCTCTCCACACCTAATGCCACTCCTTTGACGTTGATGCTAATCCAAGTAGAGCCAATTCTCTTACCTCACGTTCAACACCATTTAAACCACGTCCGATGTAATTAAGTTTGAGACTTTCCTCTATCTCACACTTGATGACATCAATCTTGCACCTGTCATAAGCGAGGTAGAGAGCCTCTAACATGACCCACACCCAACGTGATGTGAATTTTGCACTTTAGCATACAAAAAATTTGGCTCAAATCGCCAAAAATATAGAAAATCACTAACATGCAAAGCAAGATAACACTTATACACATCAATAATGGTCCATATTGCACAAGAATTCCAACATGCAATCAAAATTACTCAAATTCACCAATTTTTCCTCCTTGGAACCAAAAATGCCAAACGCAACATTTCCATCATATAATCCAACAATCCATCAACATAAACATATTTTGATGACAATCAAATAACATGCAACTTGTGAAACTCAACATAACTAGCATTTTTAGCTTTTTCTTACCTCAACTTTGAGCAAAGAGAGGAAGAAGAGGAAGACGAGGATGGTTTCGAGCTAACACTAAAGCTCCATATAAAACTACTAATAATGCCAAATTCTCAACTCAAACGCCTTGAATCAACATCCAACTCCTAGAATCACACTTCTTAGACTTCCAGAAAGCTAGGAGAAGAAGAAGAAGGTTTAACATCTAGAGTCTCTCTCTCTCTAAGCTTATCTCTCTAAGTTATTTGACAATGAGTTTATAAGGTTGAATTGTCATAAGAAACCTTATACATTTCTCCCATGAGGATCAAACTGGATCTCAGTCCAAAAAAAACTTTTTAAACACCTAAAGACTCTTTCAAGAGTCTTCCAACCTCCAGAGCCACTCAATACTACACCTTAGAATACCAAAATATACAATTATATTAATAAAACACAATAATTTAAAGAAAACGGACATTGTTATAGATATCTTATTAATTTATTAAATTTCATTAATATAATACATTTTTAAATACATTTATAGTTCATATAAATTTAGTAAGTTTTAATTTTGATGTTTATAATTATTTCTTTACTTTTATTTCTCTAAAGTGTAGAACATTTGTTTTTGTTCCCCACAAAATAAAGAAATTTTGATTTTATTCTCTATAAAATATTTTTATTTGATTTTTATCAATTTAAAATTTGAGATCACTTATTTTATTGTTTTAGTATTTATTTGAAGATAAATAAATAATACTTCTTTTAAAATTTTCGATCTATTTACTTATTTATGCTTGAAATCGGTTATCAACTAATAATTCAAAATTATCAATCTATTTGTAGTTGAGAATAGTATTAGCTAATATTCTTCACTAGCTAGTAGCTCGGGACATTTGATCTCTTGCTATTCATTTTGCGTTGTTTCTTCGTTTAGAGAATTTTTCATAGCTTTAAAACAATTTAGATCGAGTAGGCTTACATATGTTTTATTAGATGTAAAGTGAGCAGTTCGTTTTTTTTTTTATTTTTTTTTTATTTTTTTTTATATTATTTGTAAATATTATTTTTAATTGTAAAATAAGAAAATTTTGATTTTAGTCCTTTAAAATAGTTTTTCTTCCTTCTAGAATCTAAAAGTAATATTTTTAGTTCCTAATGACGATTTTAAAGTGTATACATATTATTTATTTTATGGACCTATAAATTTTTTTAAAAATGCCATACATTTACATGATATTACTAACGATCGTGGATAATACCTAAAAAGTTCACCTAACCTTTTAATAAGTAAATAAGTAGTTAAAACTGATTATATAATAATGGAGACTGAAACAATAATTTTAAATTTTATAAGGATAAAATACATATTTTTTTAAAGAGATTAAAGTAAAATTTAGTTATTTTGTAGAGACTGAAAACATACTTAAATCTAAGAAATATTACATATAGATATAATATTACAAACACTATTACGTTTTACCTAAAATTATCACTTATATTTTGTTTAATATATAAATTATCAAGTACCATATAATAGTAGAGACTAAAAATAATAATCTTTTATAAATCAAAAATAAAAAATTCATAAGAACTAAAATTAAAATTAACTCATTTAATAAAAATTAAATAATATATTTAAGTCTATAATACAATTTTATTATAAAATAAATTTTTAAAAAGATACACATAGGATCGACTCTGACATTTTATGTTCACTAAACAAAATAATAAATTAGTACTCCTTAAATATAAAAATATATATTTTACACAAAACATAGACACATAATTTTATTTTGAAAAAATTGCACATCTCATTATATTAAGTGCATAATATAATTTTAGAGGGGATATGTATAGTAATAATATGTAGCGATTTTTTGATTGCAATTTTTCAAGTATAAGTATAAATTTTATTAAGTGTGATTTTCATTTTTTTTAATAGATCAAACTCAAAGAGTGAATATAATATGTTATTGAGTGCATTTTTTTTAATTCAACACATTTTTTATATCTAATATGAATTCGAATGAAAATTATTTTTTTTAGTAATAAATAAATAAATTGAATGACAATAAAAACACAAATATATATACCTATTTAAAAATATACAATAAATTAAGGATGTTAATATGCGTATGAAAGTAAAAGAGAAAATATTTTCTATTTTTTTTATTTAAAATATAAAAGATTAATAAAATTAAAACCCTAATTAGAGACCTTGAGCAGTTGCACTTCCCTCAACCGATCTTGAATAAATGGTAACTATCACATTATCAATTCGATTTTTTCCTCACGGTTAAAAATCATTCTCTTTTATTGTCGCTAGTGTATAAAAATTCTGTGTCACTATATTTTTTTTATAGAAAAATATTAGTTTTTAAAACAATTATGCATAACTAACAGAAAAAAAACATTTTGTGTCTGTATTATATTAAAAAAAATATAAATAAAAAGGGAAAAAAATAGAAGTTACTTATAAAAAAAAAGTAATTATTAAAAAATAAACAAAGTATAAAATGGTCTATGTAAAAATGAAAATCAAAAGTAATTATTGAAAGTAATATCCTCTTTATATATTAGTATAGATATAGAAAAATATTAATTTTTAAAACAATTATGCATAACTAGGAGAAAAAACGCATTCTGTGCTTATATTATATTAAAAGAAAAAAATAAATAAAAAATAAAAAAATGAGAAATTACTCATAAAAAATGTAATTATTGAAAAATAAATAAAGAATAAAATCATCCATGTAAAAATAAAAATCAAAAGTAATTATTGAAAATAGTATCTTCTTTATATATTAAGAATAAATTATACTGAAAAAAATGAATATTATTATGTAAGATGAAAAATAAGAGAAAAAATAATTATATAAATAACAAATTTTTATTTACAATAAATATATATTGTACGATTATTTAATAAAAAGTTTTATTTGAAGAATAAAATAATTTCATTAAAAATGGAGAGAATGTATATCTTTTTATTTATTGTTGTAGAGAATAAATAATAAATATAAGTAAAATAACATGTGGGAACAAAGTCTTATAATAAGACAATACTACTTGACCGACAAAACATGATGATGGTGAAAATTAAACATTAAATTACAAAACTTTTTGAATCACAAAACTTAAACAATAATTATAAGCTATTTCATTATCATTCTCGTTAGAAGATTAAACCACCCAACAAACAATTTAAACTATTTTTTTTTGTACCAACCTGATGAGCAAAATCTCAAATTATTAAAATATTACTATACATGTTTGGAACACTTATTTGAAAGATAAGAAGTCTCAAATCTCATATAATATATATTTATAATTCACTATTTATGAATATATAATTACTATGTTGGTTTTATTTTTTATGATATTTTAGTGAAATAAAATTAATTGTCATTTTATAATATTAATAAAATATTAAATATACTCCTACTATTATATCTTTGATTATTTATTATAAAATGGCACACAACATAAGAAAATAATATGAGAATAAAATTATATTAAAAATTGTATAATAATATTTATAAAATTTTAAATATTAATTATATTTTATAATATTTGAAAAATGACCTTAAACCTCAAATAAAATGAAAAGAAACCAAGGGAGAATATTATCTATATTTATATTCCTGCATTAATGTTGGGTGGGAAAAAGACAAAAAGAGAAGAAGGTGGTAAAAGGTGAAGTCAACCTTCTATTCTACTTTCTCTGGTTTGCAAAAAGGGTCCAAAAAAGGCTACTAATTATCATTTTATCACAGCCTCCATCAAGAAAGTGATCAAAGTTCCTCTTTTGACCCTTCGTTCTTCCTTCCACGATCCTTCTCATCAAACCCCAAATCATGAAAAGTTGAAAAGCCTTTCTCAAATCTCAACTACTGAGTGCGTAATCACAGCGATCTGCCATCACTCTGGTGGGTTTGTTGCCCCATTTTTGCGAATTTGCATTTTCACCCTTTTCAAGTTTTGGACTTTGTTTTGTTTCCCTGCATCTGAAAGCCTTAACCTTTGATTTGGTCGTAGGGTGGTTTTCTTGATGCCCTTATGGGTGCTTGCTGGAGTAATAGGATTAAGGCTGTGAGTCCTTCCAATACAGGTAAGCTTGTATCTTCATTTTCTTCTCTTTGAATGCATGAAAGAGCTATTTTTTCTTCTGGGGTTGGAAATGAACATGGGGTGGGCTTAAAGTTGTTAACTTTATGGGTAGTTGTGGGGTTATGTTCATGTATCCAAGTCTATAATAAATGATTGGGATCCTTGCATATTAAGGATGCTATGGTTTTTCAGATATGGTGATCTGTGTCTCATGAAAAAAGGGGTTTTGGTTTGAGAGACCCATTGGATTGGTAGACTTTAGATTTGGTTCTTCATGTGGATTTTAGCTTTTCTACCCGCTTGAAAATTCCATCTAGGGTTGGTTTGGTATTGGAGTAAAAATGGGGTTGCTAAATCTTTGGATGGTTTTGCACTACAACTTACTTGTAATGCTAATTCACTAATTTTCTCCATTTTTAATCACATCAGAAGGTTTTCTGCTAGATAATTTATTTAGGAAAAAAAATTGAAAGCTAGGTCTTAGGAAATTACTGTTAGGACAACAGAAGGACAATTTGGGATTTTGGGATTCCATGTGAATTGGTGTTACAAGTGATGATTTTGTTGTTTTAAGGCAGGTGATGTTGAGTGAGTCTTTGTGAACTTTTTTTTCATGGTATTGATGTAGGGTTCACTTCTAGAAGTGTCAGCCGGAGTGGCAATGACGTCGGCTCTAATAGCAGGAACTCATCAGCCTCCATATCCGTCACTTCTCGAAGTGAGGGTGAGATCTTGCAATCTTCCAACCTGAAAAGCTTCAGCTATAATGAGCTGAGAGCAGCCACAAGAAATTTCCGCCCAGATAGTGTCTTGGGGGAGGGTGGCTTTGGTTCAGTATTTAAGGGCTGGATTGATGAGCATTCACTTGCTGCTACTAAACCGGGAATAGGCATGATTGTTGCTGTGAAGAGGCTTAACCAAGATGGGTTCCAGGGTCACAAAGAATGGTTGGTTAGTATCAATCAATTCTTTGCTTGATACTTGTTTAGTTTCCTCTCTGATGGCTTCAAATTTTAATTCATTGTGTATCAACAAAATTCTAGGCAACTGAGAATTTTTGGATACTCCTTCATTTTGCCTGTCTGATTCTGTTTGGAGGATTTTCAGTGGAACTGTATGGCCTTGATTATGATACTGTAGTTCAACCTATATCCAAAAGCTGGTTGCATAATAGTTGATATTCCTTTTTTGTGTTGTTTGACTTACAGACTGAAATCAACTATCTCGGGCAACTGCAGCATCCTAACCTTGTTAAGTTAGTAGGATACTGCTTTGAGGATGAGCATAGACTTCTGGTTTATGAATTTATGCCCAAGGGTAGCATGGAAAATCATCTGTTCAGAAGTTAGTACCTTTTATTTTAGTTGAATATATAACTTTTTATTCCTTTTTGTACCACTACCAAGAAGCTTTCTTTTTCCTGAATAGTAATAATTCGAAGTTCAGTCCTCTGAGTTCTAATACTAATGCTCTGAGTTCTAATACTAATGTTGCTTGAAATCATCATAAATACAGGAGGTTCTTACTTTCAGCCATTCTCTTGGAGTTTGCGAATGAAAATAGCCCTTGGGGCTGCAAAGGGCCTTGCTTTTCTTCATAGTACAGAACCTAAAGTCATATACCGTGACTTTAAAACTTCGAATATCCTACTTGATACAGTATGTACATAATTGTAATTTGAGCATGTCTTGTCATGGTTCAAAATATGATGGATTTAGAGTTCATTACTGAGCTTTGTTGCATGTTGCTTTGCAGAACTATAATGCCAAACTTTCGGATTTTGGGTTGGCTAGAGATGGTCCAACTGGTGATAAAAGTCATGTCTCTACTAGAGTCATGGGAACCCGTGGATATGCAGCACCAGAGTATCTAGCAACAGGTAACAACTATGGTTTATGTCAAATAGTATTCCTAGCTTAGGTTTTGGGTTTCCTGCACTGGTCTTCACTCTCATTTTCACATAAGATTTTGTGGCTAATTTTCTAGTCACTCAAATATTCTGTTGGTGTTTAGTGTTACAATTTTAGCCTTTAAGTATCCCTTTCATTTACTCTAGAGAGTGTCCTGAGTCTTTAAGGTTTTGCAGAATGGCAATTACCATTTTGTGCCCCCCCTCCCCCCCACAAACAAATGACTTCTCTTTGTATAAATTTGTCGATCCTTCTATCTTGTATTTTCAATTATCAGTTAGAGTTTGGTCCCTTCTTTTGTTTTTTTGTTGTGAATTTATTAGATTTGAGCAGTTTTTATTTTTTATATTAATATACAAACAAGACAGTATTACCTACTGCTTACCACCACTGAATAATTTATGTTTTGCTAGGTCATCTTACTGCCAAGAGTGACGTATATAGTTTTGGAGTAGTTCTTCTGGAAATGATATCTGGAAGAAGAGCTATAGACAAGAACCAGCCACCTGGAGAGCATAACCTTGTTGACTGGGCCAAGCCTTACCTATCCAACAAACGAAGAGTTTTTCGTGTGATGGATCCACGCCTGGAAGGTCAATATTCACACAGTCGAGCTCAAGCAGCAGCTGCGCTGGCTATGCAATGTCTTGCTACGGAGCCTAAGTGCAGGCCAAATATGGATGAGGTGGTAAAAGCATTGGAGCAGCTTCAGGATTCAAAGGACATGCAGAGAAAAGGTGCTGCTGATCATAAACAGCATCACGTACGCAATTCTGGCCTCGGCCGTTCCAACGGTGGCAATGGTGGTGCAGATGTGCCCAGAAAGCCTTCTGCTTATCCTAGACCTTCTGCTGCTCTCCTTAGGTGAGAGGATTTTGTGACAGGGCAAGTAGTAAGCAGAACACAAGATTCAGAGGTTTAGGTGTGGCATGAACCATGTTTATGCAAGAAATGTATAGTTAGTTTGTGTTATTTCTGTTATATTTTGTGCTATATATAAATTTTTTCTTCTTGTGGTCCTTTTTGTTAGACATGTAAGAGTCTAATATGGATCCTTAAAGGTGTTCATTAATTTCGAACCCTGTAAAAAACTGCAACAATGTGGCTGATGCTTTACATTTTCATCTTTTGCTTTTAATATGTAAAAAAGTCATCATCATTGTTGACTCCCTGACTTCCATGATTCCTTCCATCCCCACCACCAAATCCTGTTGACTCTGCTTTTTAATTGTTTCAAATCATCTTTTGTGCTTTATGCTTTTTATTAATATTTTTTTTATGCTTTTGTTTCAAGTCATCTTCGAAGCATTGTGGGTCACTTGTAGTTCAACTTTTTTTTCTTTATCTTTTGAATCTTTAAATTTCCCAGCTGTGGCATTTGTTGCAATTAGCATGTATCTGGAGATTCATTTTGTTTGAAAATATAAAAACTATTGAAGTTTATTTTGGAAGCCTAGTATCGTGCTTTCACACACCCCAAAGAAAAATGTGTTGAAATGTTGAAATTTGCTCTAAACAAATCAGGTCCAATGCATGAGAATATAGAACCGTAGAACCTTATTTTCTGAGATAAGATTAGAATGATTCTGCATATATGCTGATCTGTGGACCCACCTTGATCAAGAATACTACAAATAGATAGTATATGCATGTTTATTTCGGCTTCTAAGATCTATGTTGCTTCTTATTTCGAGTCGAAAATAAGAAAGACACAAAAGCAAGCTTACTTCTTCCATTGGTGGATCGAAGTTGAGGTGACTTAGTTCAGACACATTATATATTTAATTCATGTCTGCATTTGAGGATTCAATGTTCATTTATCTGTCTCATGAATAGGGCAAATATATGCTTCCTTCCTTAAATGCTTCTTTCTTAAGTGTCTAAAATGATCTTATTTCATTCATGGCTTGCTTAGCATAGTTTATTTTGGTTGTAGAAGTGAATCCAATATTACTATAATAACATTCAAAATGAAATATAAAAAAATGCAATGATCGTTGTCCAAAATCAAAAGTCAAAATGCATATTTTCCATCACGATTTGAGAGAACAAGTTAAAATGAATAGATTAAAAAGATTATATCTTGGGTTCTGTACTTACAAATTACAAGGTTATCAAAGCATCCAAATTTATTGCCGCAATTTTTCGGCATTTACACAGTTGGTATCTCGGAACTGTCGGATGAAGATTGAATAGTTCATATTTATTCTCAATAAATCAAATTTAAAACACTTGAAATCTGAGTTGTTTGATCATCCAATGGTCACAAATGCCTTGATTGTGTAATTGTGTTGAGTTCTATATTGAGTAGAACAAAGTTAAAGGTTCATTTGGATCAAAATTTTCACATATATTTACTGAACTTATATACAAGAAAAAAAAATATGATTACATGTTTTCGACTAAAATATAAGTAAATTTTAATTAAGTTAACTTTATTTAATGTTCTTAATATAAAAATATTTTTTTAAAAATAAATATGATTAAATATATTTTAATAAATGTAATGTATATTTTATATGAAATTGTGAAAATTAAAGGCTTTTAATTTTCTTTTTTTGATCAAATTTAATTTTACTTTCTTAATTTGTGTGAGATTTATTTTATTTATTTATATATAAATCCAGAGGGAGTATATGAGAAAAATGATAAAAAAAATAAAATATTTTTTTTTCATCAACTAAAATTAACTTATATATAAGTTAAAAAAACACATTTTAAAAGAAGTTAATATAATAGAACTTTGATAAATTAAATTATATAAATAATTTTAACTTTTGAAGAAAGTTATTACATTTTTTTTATCTTTGTACTGTCCTAGATATATATATGGCCGATCAATCTAGACTAGTTGTATAAATATTGGGTGACTCATTATTAATCTATCTACTAATTTAACGATCTAATATTCTTTAATCTATAAAATAATGTATACAACAAAATTATCACAAAGACAAAAAATCCATACCATGATAAACGATCCCTAACAAAATAAGATAAATAAATTAAAAATAGATGACATATTTAAATTAATATAAGAAAAAATATAACCTCCCTACTATATAATGTTCACACTAAACGGAAATAATTAAGTTTTTATTGAATTTCATTTTTATTCTCCCAATAGAATTACTCTAAGTTTTATATTGGAACCATTTTTTTTTCATTTCTATATTGGAACCATCTTTTTTCATTTATGAGTGTTTAGATAAAACCTTTATCGAAACACATCATTAGTAAGAATATTTGCACCCAATCTTGTGCCTACCTCTTATATTTTGTTCGACTAAGTAGATACACTTATCTTCCTTACATTAATTATTTGGAAAAGAGCTCCACTTCAACGCGTTTTCAAGCATACCCTTTTCAAAATAAACCCTTTTAATAAGTTGGTAACTTCACATCTTCCAACCTTGAATGTGTTCATTCCCTATCCAACTCTAGACTGTCATTTTCCATATTCTGACATTATTATCACTGAAATCCCTCTCAGCAATTCATTTTTAGCTAAACCAAGCCAACCAAGTGTCAACATACCTATAATATAGACCTTGCATCATATTTAAATTGTCATTATCAACCTTCTTGCAAGCTACGCCACAAGAAACTTCCAACTTACCCAGAATAATCAACCTTTTTTTTTTTCGATAAGGATAAATTTTAGGAAAAAATTTGATATGAAAACTAATTTATTATTATTATTTTTATAAACTAGAATATCTCCCAACAGAAAGTTAAAGTTTAATATCTCAATGTAGTAAAATTTATTTAAGAAATTAACTTTTCGAAACAAATGTTTTTACAAACATGTTACACATCACATGCTTAAGGGGTAAAGTTGTCCACCAATTATGTCACTCCTGGTTGGTGTATGAAAACCAAATTAAAAAAAAATGAATATTGAAATTAACTTGAAAACAAATATCATGTGTAAAAATTAAAATGAAAACTTAATTACACAAATCATTGTCACGTCAATTTCTATTATGCGTGTAAGACTAGTATAATAGAAAAGACTAAACTAAAAATCACTTGTGAAAGTAGAATATTCGGTTGTTATCAGTTCTGCAAATGAAAAGGACTAAACTAAAAATCACTTGCGAATAGCAATTTATTATAAGGACACAACCTGTGGTTTGGTATATGCATAATTTACGTGGGTTTTCTTCTGTTCACATGGCTTGGGATGAGCAATCCACAAATGGATTGTATTTTTGTATAGGACTCTTATAACCACCTTATTTAGATCATATGAGTATATATGTAAAATGGACCACCTAGTCCACCTTCACCACATGAGTAATAGTGGAGTTAACTAAACTTGGTTTACCTTTTGATGCACTTAAAAAATTTATTCAAAATTTTTTTAGAAAATTTTAACATGAAGCAGTATAAAATGTGGTACATGAATGAAATATTATTTTTAATCGTTAAATTTAATAATATAATAATCAAGAGTTCAGATTTCTTACCTATAACTTGGAAAAGAAAATTTTTGTATTTTGCAGATTAGTCTCTACTTAAGGTTACTGTTTTGGCCGCCAATAGGTGGTGAGGACGAGGAAGACGACGACGAGGCCATTGAGGGCGAGCTAGGGGCGGGGAGGGCCAGATTTGGAGGTGGCAAGGTTTTGGTCGTAACGGATGTAGTTGACAGCGGAGAAGGCGAAGGAGAGGCCCTAGGAGAGTTGAATGCCGTGGACAACGAGAAAGGGGAGGTAGCGGCAAAGGAGGGACATGAGGCCGGTGGTGCCGAGGAGGAGGAGCCCGCACCTCTGTTGCCACTGCACGAACGAAGTTGCGCTTCCGCTGCCATCGCTTGAAGGAACCCGCACCTCTGCGCTGAAGTTAGATGAAATACACATAGGAGGGGGGGGGGGGGTGAATATGTGTGTGTGTGAACAAAGAAATTTTAAAAACATTTTCGCAAGAAGGCTCTTTTTTGTCCAGTAAAATAATATTAGTAAATGCTAAACTGGAACGGCCCAGAATTGGTTTAACAAAATAATTTTTGCGTCTGGGAATTTTATCGTCTGCTCAAGGAAAATGCTTCTTAAACGAACCATTCTTTAAGATAACAAATTGAACAAGTGTGGTTTTCGTCTAAAGAGTTTTAATAGACGATAAGCATTTAGACGAAGGTTTCAGTATTTAAAATCATTCAAATAAAAGTGCGTCTGAAATCTAAAAATAGTGCAAGTATTTTTATACTGGTTCGCTCAAACTGAACTACGTCCAGTCTCCTTCAAATGAAGGGTTCCACTAGATGTTCAATGAGGTACAAGTATTATTTGTTCAGCCTCTTCAGGCTCGCAGTGAGTATTATAGACCACCTAGGTCACGACCACTCCTGGTCGGCCAACTTCACTCATTGGTCCTAGTATTTTTTAATCAGCCTCTTCAAGCTAGCAGTGAGTATTCTAGACCACCCAGGTCACGACCATTCCTGGTCCCAAGTATTATCAACCACTCCTGGCTCATCAACTTCACTCGCTGATGCTAGTATTCTTTGATCAACCACTTCTGGCTCCTAGTGAATATTCTCGACCAACTCCTGGCCCGCTAACTTCACCATTAGCGCTAGTATTCTTTACTCAGCCACTTCTGGCTCTCAGTGAGTATTGTCGACCAACTCCTGGCCCGTCAACTTCACTCATCGACACTAGTATTCTTTGATCAGCTACTTTTGGCTCGCAGTGAGTATTTTTTGACAAGCCTCTCCAGGCTTTACAAGTATTCTTTCCTTAGCCTCTTCAGGCTTTACATATGATGACTAAACAAGTTTGGTTTGAGTGTTTAGGTTACTCTCATAGGGAGGATACATCAGTTGATACACTTACTAAGGTATGCAACCTTAGTTTTTACAACGATTGAGTGTTTAATTTACTCTCATAGAGAGAATACATAAGTTGAATACACTCACTAAGGTTCATGTTCTTAAGATGCACACTTGGAACTCCTTAGTCTACAAAGATAATTATACTTTGGTACATTTGAGGTAGTGATATATATATTTTCTTGTATAATTTTCCCGTTGCAAGTGTCCGTTGAAGTAGATATAGTCGTTTATGACTAGTTTGATCTTCTTATTTAATGCTTGAGATCTTGCATTAAATGTTGCTTCCTGTTATAGACATTGCGTGTAGACTTCTTTGCCTTGTTAGTAGCTGTGTCTGGGTTTAGCA